TAACCACCTTAAAACATCTAAAACCTCCTGAAACCACCTATAACAACCTTAAAACATCTTCAACCACCTTAAACCATCTACAACCACCTGAAACCACCTACAACCACCTTAAGCCATCTACAACCATCTGAAACTATCTGCAACCACCTGAAACCACCTAAAACCACCTTAAACCATCCACAATCACCTGAAACCACCTACAACCACCTGAAACCATCTACAACCACCTGAAACCACCTACAACCACCTACAACCACCTGAAACCACCTACAACCACCTCAAACCATCTACAACCACCTGAATCAACCTACAACCACCTTAAACCATCTTCATCCACCTACAACCACCTATAAGCACCTTAAAACATCTTCAACCACCTTAAACCATCTACAACCACCTGAAACCACCTTCAACCACCTGAAACCACCTGAAACAATCTACAACCACCTGAAACTACCTACAACCACCTGAAACCACCTACCACAACCTTAAACCATCTACAACCACCTGAAACCACCTACAACCACCTTAAACCACCTGAAACCATCTACAACCACCTGCAACCACCTGAAACCATCTACAACCACCTTAAACCATATACAACTACCTGAATCCACCTATAATCACCTGAAACCATCTACAACCACCTTAAAACATCTACAACCACCTTAAACCATCTACAACTACCTGAATCCACCTACAACCACCTTAAACCACCTGAAACCACCTGAAACTAGCTAAAACCATCTACAACCACCTGAAACCACCTATAACCTCCTTAAAACATCTTCAACCACCCTAAACCATCTACAACCACCTGAAACCACCTACAACCACCTTAAGCCATCTACAACCATCTGAAACTATCTACAACTACCTGAAACCACCTAAAACCACTTTAAACCGTCCACAATCACCTGAAACCACCTACAACCACCTGAAACCATCTTCAACCACCTGAAACCACCCACAACCACCTACAACCACCTAGAACCACCTTAAACCATCTACAACCACCTGAATCCACCTACAACCACCTTAAACCATCTTCAACCACCTACAACCACCTATAACCACCTTAAAACATCTTCAACCACCTTTAACCATCTACAACCACCTGAAACCACCTACAACCACCTTAAACCATCCACAATCACCTGAAACCACCTACAACCACCTGAAACCACCCGAAACCATCTAAAACCACCTGAAACTACCTACAACCACCTGAAACCACCTACCACAACCTTAAACCATCTACAACCACCTGAATTCACCTACAACCACCTTAAACCACCTGAAACCATCTACAACCACCTGCAACCACCTTAAACCATCTACAACCACCTGAATCCACCTACAACCACCTAAAATCACCTGAAACCATCTACAACCACCTGCAACCACTTGAAACCATCTACAACCACCTTAAACCATATACAACCACCTCAATCCACCTACAATCACCTGAAACCATCTACCACCACCTTAAAACATCTACAACCATCTTCAACCATCTACAGCAACCTGCAACCACCTTAAACCATCTACAGCCACCTGAAACCACCTACAACCATCTTAAGCCATCTACAACCGTCTGAAACCATCTACAACCACCTGAAACAACCTAAAACCACCTTAAACCATCCACAATCACCTGAAACCACCTACAACCACCTGAAACCATCTACAACCACCTGAAACCACCTAAAACCACCTGAATCAACATACATCCAACTGAAACCACCTACAACCACCTTAAACCATCTACACCACCTGAAACCACCTACAACCACCTGAAACCATCTACAACCACCTGAAACCATCTACAACCACCTGAAACCAGCTAAAACCACCTTAAACCATCCACAGTCACCTGAAACCACCTACAACTACCTGAAACCATCTAGAACCAACTGAATCCACCTACAACCACCTGAATTCACCTCCAACTACTTTAAACCATCTACAATCACCTGAAACCACCTACAACCACCTGAAACCACCTGAAACCATCTACAACCACCTGAAACTACCTACAACCACCTGAAACCACCTACCACAACCTTAAACCATCTACAACCTCCTGAATTCACCTACAACCACCTTAAACCACCTGAAACCATCTACAACCACCTGCAACCACCTGAAACCATCTACAACCACCTTGAACCATATACAACCATTTGAATCCACCTACAACCACCTGAAACCAGCTAAAACCACCTTAAACCATCCACAGTCACCTGAAACCACCTACAACCACCTGAAACCATCTAGAACCAACTGAATCCACCTACAACCACCTGAATTCACCTGCAACTACCTTAAACCATCTACAACCACCTTATAACATTTACAACCACCTGAAACCATCAACAACCACCTACAACCACCTTAAACCATCTACAACCACCTATAACCACCTTAAAACATCTACAACCACCTGAAACCATGTACAACCAACTATAACCACCTTAAAACATCTACAACCACCTTAAACCATCAACAACCACCTGAAACCACCTAAAACCACCTTAAGCCATCTACAACCATCTGAAACCATCTACAACCACCTGAAACCAGCAAAAACCACCTTAAACCATCCACAGTCACCTGAAACCACCTACAACCACCTGAAACCATCTAGAACCAACTGAACCCACCTACAACCACCTGAATTCACCTGCAACTACCTTAAACCATCTACAACCACCTTAAAACATTTAAAACCACCTGAAACCATCAACAACCACCTACAACCACCTTAAACCATCTACAACCACCTAGAACCACCTTAAAACATCTACAACCACCTGAAACCATCTACAACCACCTGCAACCACCTGAAACCACCTACAACCACCTTAAACCATATACAACCACCTGAATCCACCTACAATCACCTGAAACCACCTACAACCACCTGAAACCATCTACAACCACCTAAATTCACCTACAACCACCTGAAACCACCTACCACAACCTTAAACCATCTAAAACCACCTGAATCCACCTACAACCACCTTAAACCACCTGAAACCATCTAAAACAATCTACAACCACCTTAAACCATATACAACCACCTTAAACCATCTACAACTACCTGAATCCACCTACAACCACCTTAAACCACCTACAACCACCTGAAACCATGTACAACCATCTGCAACCACCTGAATCCACCTACAACCACCAAAAGCCATCTACAACCACCTTAAACCATCTACAGCCACCTGCAACCACTTTAAACCATCTACAACTACCTGAATCCACCTACAACCACCTTAAACCATCTTCAACCACCTGAAACCACCTATAACCTCCTTAAAACATCTTCAACCACCTTAAACCATCTACAACCACCTGAAACCACCTACAACCACCTTAAGCCGTCTAAAACCATCTGAAACCATCTACAACCACCTGAAACCACCTAAATCCACCTTAAACCATCCACAATCACCTGAAACCACCTACAACCACCTGAAACCACCTAAAACCACCTGAATCAACATACAACCACCTGAAACCACCTACAACCACCTTAAACCATCTAAAACCACCTGAATCCACCTACAACCATCTGAAACCACCTACAACCACCTGAAACCACCTATAACCACCTTTAAACATCTACAACCACCTTAAACCATCTACAACCACCTGAAACCATCTACAACCACCTTAAACCATCTACAACTACCTGAATCCACCTACAAGCACCTTAAACCACCTACAACCACCTGAAACCATGTACAACCACCTGCAACCACCTGAAACCACCTACAACCACCAAAAGCCATCTACAACCACCTGAAACCATCTAAAACCATCTACAACCACCTTAAACCATATACAACCACCTTAAACCATCTACAACTACCTGAATCCACCTACAACCACCTTAAACCACCTGAAACCACCTGAATCAACATACAACCACCTGAAACCACCTACAACCACCTTAAACCATCTAAAACCACCTGAATTCACCTACAACCATCTGAAACCACCTATAACCACCTTAAAACATCTACAACCACCTTAAACCATCTACAACCACCTGAAACCATCTACAACCACCTTAAACCATCTACAACTACCTGAATCCATCTACAAGCACCTTAAACCACCTACAACCACCTGAAACCATGTACAACCACCTGCAACCACCTGAATCCACCCACAACCACCAAAAGCCATCTACAACCACCTTAAACCATCTACAGCCACCTGCAACCACTTTAAACCATCTACAACCACCTGAATCCACCTGAAACCACCTACCACAACCTTAAACCATCTAAAACCACCTGAATCCACCTACAACCACCTTAAACCACCTGAAACCATCTAAAACCATCTACAACCACCTTAAACCATATACAACCACCTTAAACCATCTACAACTACCTGAATCCACCTACAACCACCTTAAACACCTACAACCACCTGAAACAATGTACAACCACCTGCAACCACCTGAATCCACCTACAACCACCAAAAGCCATCTACAACCACCTTAAACCATCTACAGCCACCTGCAACCACTTTAAACCATCTACAACTACCTGAATCCACCTACAACCACCTTAAACCATCTTCAACCACCTGAAACCACCTATAACCTCCTTAAAACATCTTCAACCACCTTAAACCATCTACAACCACCTGAAACCACCTACAACCACCTTAAGCCGTCTAAAACCATCTGAAACCATCTACAACCACCTGAAACCACCTAAATCCACCTTAAACCATCCACAATCACCTGAAACCACCTACAACCACCTGAAACCACCTAAAACCACCTGAATCAACATACAACCACCTGAAACCACCTACAACCACCTTAAACCATCTAAAACCACCTGAATTCACCTACAACCATCTGAAACCACCTACAACCACCTGAAACCACCTATAACCACCTTTAAACATCTACAACCACCTTAAACCATCTACAACCACCTGAAACCATCTACAACCACCTTAAACCATCTACAACTACCTGAATCCACCTACAAGCACCTTAAACCACCTACAACCACCTGAAACCATGTACAACCACCTGGACCAACCTGAAACCACCTACAACCACCAAAAGCCATCTACAACCACCTTAAACCATCTACAGCCACCTGCAACCACCTTAAACCATCTACAACCACCTGAATCCACCTACAACCACCTTAGAACCATCTACAACCACCTGAAACCACCTATAACCTCCTTAAAACATCTTCAACCACCCTAAACCATCTACAACCACCTGAAACCATCTACAACCACCTGCAACCACCTGAAACCACCTACAACCACCTTAAACCATATACAACCACCTGAATCCACCTACAATCACCTGAAACCACCTACAACCACCTGAAACCATCTAAAACCACCTGAATCCACCTACAACCACCTTAAACCACCTGAAACCATCTAAAACCATCTACAACCACCTTAAACCATATACAACCACCTTAAACCATCTACAACTACCTGAATCCACCTACAACCACCTTAAACCATCTAAAACCACCTGAATTCACCTACAACCATCTGAAACCACCTATAACCACCTTAAAACATCTACAACCACCTTAAACCATCTACAACCACCTGAAACCATCTACAACCACCTTAAACCATCTACAACTACCTGAATCCACCTACAAGCACCTTAAACCACCTACAACCACCTGAAACCATGTACAACCACCTGGACCAACCTGAAACCACCTACAACCACCAAAAGCCATCTACAACCACCTTAAACCATCTACAGCCACCTGCAACCACCTTAAACCATCTACAACCACCTGAATCCACCTACAACCACCTTAGAACCATCTACAACCACCTGAAACCACCTATAACCTCCTTAAAACATCTTCAACCACCCTAAACCATCTACAACCACCTGAAACCACCTACAACCACTTTAAGCCATCTACAACCATCTGAAACTATCTACAACCACCTGAAACCACCTAAAACCACTTTAAACCGTCCACAATCACCTGAAACCACCTACAACCACCTGAAACCATCTACAACCACCTGAAACCACCTACAACCACCTACAACCACCTACAACCACCTTAAACCATCTACAACCATCTGAATCCAGCTACAACCACCTTAAACCATCTTCAACCACCTACAACCACCTATAACCACCTTAAAACATCTTCAACCACCTTTAACCATCTACAACCACCTGAAACCACCTACAACCACCTTAAACCATCCACAATCACCTGAAACCACCTACAACCACCTGAAACCACCTGAAACCATCTAAAACCACCTTAAACTACCTACAACCACCTGAAACCACCTACCACAACCTTAAACCATCTACAACCACCTGAATCCACCTACAACCACCTTAAACCACCTGAAACCATCTACAACCACCTGCGACCACTTGAAACCATCTACAACCACCTTAAACCATATACAACCACCTCAATCCACCTACAATCACTTGAAACCATCTACAACCACCTTAAAACATCTACAACCACCTTCAACCATCTACAGCAACCTGCAACCACCTTAAACTATCTACAACCACCTGAAACCACCTAAAACCACCTTAAACCACCCACAATCACCTGAAACTACCTACAACCACCTGAAACCATCTACAACCACCTGAAACCACCTAAAACCACCTGAATCGACATACAACCAACTGAAACCACCTACAACCACCTTAAACCATCTACAGCCACCTGAAACCACCTACAACCATCTTAAGCCATCTACAACCGTCTGAAACCATCTACAACCACCTGAAACCACCTAAAACCACCTTAAACCATCCACAATCACCTGAACCCACCTACAACCACCTTAAACCATATACAACCACCTCAATCCACCTACAATCACTTGAAACCATCTACAACCACCTTAAAACATCTACAACCACCTTCAACCATCTACAGCAACCTGCAACCACCTTAAACTATCTACAACCACCTGAAACCACCTAAAACCACCTTAAACCACCCACAATCACCTGAAACTACCTACAACCACCTGAAACCATCTACAACCACCTGAAACCACCTAAAACCACCTGAATCGACATACAACCAACTGAAACCACCTACAACCACCTTAAACCATCTACAGCCACCTGAAACCACCTACAACCATCTTAAGCCATCTACAACCGTCTGAAACCATCTACAACCACCTGAAACCACCTAAAACCACCTTAAACCATCCACAATCACCTGAACCCACCTACAACCACCTGAAACCATCTACAACCACCTGAAACCACCTAAAACCACCTGAATCAACATACAACCAACTGAAACCACTTACAACCACCTGAAACCACCTACAACCACCTTAAGCCATCTACAACCGTCTGAGACCATCTACAACCACCTGAAACCACCTAAAACCACCTTAAACCATCCACAATCACCTGAAACCACCTACAACTACCTGAAACCATCTACAACCACCTGAAACCACCTAAAACCACCTGAATCAACATACAACCACCTGAAACCACCTACAACCACCTTAAACCATCTAAAACCACCTGAATTCACCTACAACCACCTGAAACCACCTACAACCACCTGAAACCAACTATAACCACCTTAAAACATCTACAACCACCTTAAACCATCAACAACCTGAAACCACCTAAAACCACCTTAAGCCATCTACAACTATCTGAAACCATCTACAACCACCTGAAACCAGCTAAAACCACCTTAAACCATCCACAGTCACCTGAAACCACCTACACTCACCTGAAACCATCTAGAACCAACTCAACCCACCTACAACCACCTGAATTCACCTGCAACTACCTTAAACCATCTACAACCTCCTTAAAACATTTAAAACCACCTGAAACCATCAACAACCACCTACAACCACCTTAAACCATCTACAACCACCTATAACCACCTTAAAACATCTACAACCACCTGAAACCATCTACAACCACCTGCAACCACCTGAAACCACCTACAACCACCTTAAACCATATACAGCCACCTGAATCCACCTACAATCACCTGAAACCACCTACAACCACCTGAAACCATCTACAACCACCTGAATTCACCTACAACCACCTGAAACCACCTACAACAACCTTAAACCATCTAAAACCACCTGAATCCACCTACAACCACCTTAAACCACCTGAAACCATCTAAAACCATCTACAACCACCTTAAACCATAAACAACCACCTTAAACCATCTACAACTACCTGAATCCACCTACAACCACCTTAAACCACCTACAACCACCTGAAACCATGTACAACCACCTGAATCCACCTACAACCACCAAAAGCCATCTACAACCACCTTAAACCATCTAAAGCCACCTGCAACCACCTTAAACCATCTACAACCACCTGAATCCACCTACAACCACCTTAAACCATCTTCAACCACCTGAAACCACCTATAACCTCCTTAAAACATCTTCAACCACCTTAAACCATCTACAA